GAGCATTTTTTAATCCAAATGGTATGACCTTCAATTCATAATGACCAAAAGGTGTAGTGAAAGCAATTTTGTAACGATCTTTTGGGTGAATTTGTATATGCCAGAATCCACTTTTTAAATCAAATTTACTGAAAATGACGGCTTGGCTAAGTCGTTTAATTAGATCTTTTTTTATTAGGAATTGGATAACGAATCCATTATAAAAACTTTGTTTAATGGCTTGTAATTAATTACTAATCTAGGAACTCCTCTTTCTAATTCAGCATTTTTATTAACATAAAAGGCAGGATAAGACCAGGGTGACTTACTATGACTAATAATTTTGTTTTGTAGTAATTCATTAATTTCTTTTTTACACATTTCAACTAATTTATGATTCATTTGAATAGGTCTAGATTTAGTAGGAATTTGTCTTTTATTAAAATCCTTAATATATGGTAATGTGGCTACATGTTTTTTCCTGTGCCAAAAGGCAGTAGGTAAAGTAGAACATACGGTTGATTCTAACTTTTGCTTAAATTGTTCAATTTGAGAAATAGTAATAGGATCAGTTAATTGTTGTTCAATTCTTTTATAATTCATTTCTTCTTTAAGATATCTGATTTGTTGAGTTAATCGATTAATAATTTTAAAAATAGAATAGTCTTTTAACTGGTGTAATTCTTTTACTTCAGGTGGAGATAAAAATTTAAAAGTTATGGTTTGGCCAAAGGCTTGAGTAGTTATTCCTTGATTAGAAGTGGTGAACGGATAGAATAAAAATATAAATGGTGTTCCTAAAATAACTTTATTAGTCATATTTCTAACTAAAACAAATGATGTTTTGAAACAAACATTATTTTGACAAATATGGACTTTTGGTAATTTATATTTACTATGCATTTTGCTGCCATTAGCAGAAGTTAATTGTTCATCTGTTTTATAATAATATTTGGTAGGGAGTAAGCCTTCTTGAATACAATGAAGATCAACACCAGCATCTATTAATGCGATGACTTCTAACTCAAAATCATTGACAACCAATTTGATTTTTGAATGGCATTTTTGAATATTATTTTTATTGATAAGATTTAATCTTTTATTTTCAGGATTATCAGATGGATTGGATCAATTATCAAACAAAATATTATTTGGATTAGTATCTTCATTAGTACATTCAGATTCATTAGAAGAGATGGCATCATTTTGTTGAAAGTTGTCTAAACTTTTATTAATTTTTAGTACAGATATTTCTTATTCTAAAATTTTATCTTTATTTTGTAAATCTTTGATGAGACGTTTAATTTGATTAATTTCTTATTGTAGATCTTGAAGAGTGACTTCTTTTTGTTTATTTTTAAATCGTTCTAAAGTTTTTGTTAGGCTAATGATTGGTTTGTCATGTTGTGGTTTAGTATCTTTGTTAATTAATAATGATTTTAGTTTGCCAATATATTTTTGTTTCAATTCAAGATCATCTAATTTACTAATTAATTCAATAAGAACAGTTTTTTCTTGATGTTATTTAGTGAAGACAGTGATTTGTTTAATAGCTTTACAACAAGCATCATTACATCCTAATTCAAAAACCGTTACTATCAGAAGTATCACTAGGCGAATGATAAACAGAGGAGGTATTTGAGTTGGGTATGTCAAAGGAGTTATTAAGAGATTGATTTAATTGGAGGATGTCAAATAATTGATTTTTAGATTCGTCATTTATTTGAGTTGATTAACCTTGTCTTTCAATTTTTGTTTTTCTTTACACTTATTGGAATAATGACAATTTTTTCCGCAATTATAACAGGTAATATTAGAAGGAGATTTGGAAGAAAATTTAGATTTTGACTTTTTAAAGGATTTATATTTATGATGAGATTCGAGTTTATCATAATACTTATCAAGGAACTTATAATTTGAGTATCTCTTACGATATTTATGACTTGATTTTTTAGAAAATTATTTATTTATGTGGGACTTTCTCTTAGAGGGTGCTATAGGAGGTAGGCCATATTGTTCACAGATATTGTCTAGTTCATACTTAGCTTTATATTTATCTTTAGCAGCTTTTTGACTAAGTTTTAAATCAATACACATTTTTAATTCTTCTTTTTGGATAGTACTAATTATATCACCATAAGTTAAATTATCATATTCAATTATTTCAGTAGGTTGACTAAGAACATTTCTAATCTTATGTGCAAAAAGACTAGGTAGACCATTAATAAATTTTTCTTTCCAAAATGATTTAGTACAATCTTCGCGGAGCATTACTCTGGATGTAAAAACATCTTTATACCATCTGAAATCACTTAGTGTTGGACAAGTAAGATTACTAAGTTGATCATGTATTCTAGAATAGATATTAGTAGGTGTGCCAATAAAATGTCCAACTATAGTATAAATTAGGGTATTGATACCATCAGGTTTATAATAGCCAATTGTTTCGTCAAATATGGGTAAATCATTTTCATCTTTTTTACTTGCATGTAAAATAGATTCTCTTTGGTCTTTAATAAGATATTTTTCTCACCAAAATTTTAACTTACCAGTAAAACCAGAGGTTATTAAAGAAACAATTTCAGGTTGAGTATAGTCTGGGTAGTTACTAAGATAATTATTGGCGACCATGGGGTAAGGAGTAACTGACTGAGAAGAAGAGGCGAATGGGTCAGAAGCCAATGCAGAGGTATAACTAGGTTTAGGAATATCACCAAGAACTTGGTAACGATTGACTAATTCAGCAGGATATCAGGTGACTAACTCCAAAGGAGGAACTAGTTGACTAGAAGGAACAAGAGCCTTACTAGAAGGTCTCAAAGGTCTCGGAGCAGACATCTGTAAAATAGGTGGATTGAAATTAACATCCACTAAGGATATCTAATTTACTCATATGATAATCAGCACAGTTAATATATTTTATATCTATATATAATTCCAATTTCAGGTTGTTTGGGGTGTTCGATATCTTTGTTTAAGTCTACCCAAATTTAATTCAGGCTTATAAATTTTTATCTAAATCCGTACCAAATTAAAAAATTTCTTATCCAAATCCTAAAAAAAATTCAGGCTAAGCTTAGGATGTTTGGTTAAGTCCGTCCAAATTGCACCCCTCAGTCAAACCGAACAAAGAATGAATGGATGTATGAATATTATGAGAAAACTAAGGAGTTTAAAAAGTTGCGAGAAGGTAGGATTCTCTCATTCCCTTTCTTCCTTGGCTCTTTCCTTGCAATGGTCAAGATTCACTTTTAGAGAATCTAATGGCCTAGATCATCCCAAAAATATTATTTTTTAATTTTTATTTTTTTTAATAAAGTGATTTGGACCGTTGGATCCTCTTAGAGTGAATCTTGACCATTGCAAGGAGAGGATCAAGTAGAGAAGGTAAGGAGAGAATCCTTGCTCGAAGTTTTTAGCATGATTTTAAATTTATTGTGAAGCGTGCCATTCAAAATAAATATGATTCATACATTTTATTTATAATATATTTGATTTTAAATTTTAAATTTTGTTTTAAATAAGGACAATTGAATATATCATCGCTTAATTTTAAGGGCAAAGTCGTCAATTTGACAAAGTATAAACTAATTTGACAAAAATAAATGTCAAAAAAATATTTTTTAATTTTTAAAACATATTTCTATCTATCAAAGATAAAATTATGTAAAATTGATAAATCTTTTACACATTTATTTATTTATTTTTTTACCAAATTAATTTGTATTATGTGTTTGAATAATGATAATGTAATGAGTGGTTGTTAGACTTTTAATATGTAATCAATATATTTAATATATGAAATGTTTTAGTTTTGGATTTTTTTGATTTAATGGATGGGTTTAATAATAATATCAAAATTGTCACTATATTTAACTTTTGAAAAAATTGAAAATAATTTAATGAAAATAAAAACAATCACCCATTACATAATCATCATCCAAATACATAATAAAAATTAATTTGGTAAAATAAATAAATGTGTAAAAGATTTAACAATTTTATATAATTTTATCTTTGGTGGATAGAAATAATTTTTAAAAATTTAAAAATGTGTTTTTGACATTTATTTTTGTCAAATTAATTTTTATTTTATTAAATTGACGATTTTACTCTTGAAATTAAGCAATGGTATATTTAATTGTCTTTATTTAAAATAAGATTCAAAATTTAAAATTAAATATGTCATAATTAAAAAATTAAAGATTAAAATGACACAAATCTCAAATTATAAAAAAAAATTAGCGTAATTCGTCCATTTTCAAATAACTTTTTAAGGTTCCATAAAAACACATCTTATAAAAATAAATGCACTTTCACATCTTAATCTGAAGTGGCTGAGAAAAGGCAATATACATTCAATGCTTCTGAATGTGGAGATTTTAATGGGGGAGAATTTGAGGGGTTTATAGAACTTATCAGGGTTTTGTTGCGATCTGATTGATTTATTTGGTAGGATCTTTAACGTATATTATTCACAAAAAAAATTATTTTAATTTAATAATTATAAATTTTTTATTTTATCATATTTATTTTTTAAAAATAAACGTTAAATATATTATTAAAATAAATCATTTATTTTTTTTAAAAAATAAAAGAAAAATTATACTAGAGTATTTTAGTCAAGATTAATGAGATGTTTGATTATGTTTCATGTATGGTGGTATTTAAATTTAATTATGTATGACTTTTTTTTTTTTTGGTTATGAACTTATGACTAAAAAAGTATGAAATTATGTAATTTTCTTCTTCTGAAATGAATAGTTATATATATATCAAAATGAAACTTTCAATATTACAATCATTAAATTAAATAGATAACATTTATTGATCATTAACTTAAAAAATATATATATATATATATATATATATATTTGTTCTTGTTTGGTGTTCTTTTCTTTAAAAAAAACATCGAGAGACCGAAAGGTTGACGGTATGTTAACCGAAAAAGGAAATATACATTCTCTCTCTCTCTCTCTTTCTTAAAAAAAAAGGCAATATACATTCAATGCTTGATAATATTGATCGAAATAAAAAACCGAGAACACTCGTTGAAGGGTAATTTTATTAAATTCTTAAAATTAAGAAGTAAAGATACAAAAGAGAAATATATTGCTAGAAGATTGGCAACCAAAAAAAAAAGAAAAAAAAGTTAGACATGCATAGAAGTATCAAAAGCAATTAATGGATAAAATTTCCATATGCCTCATGAGGCCAGATCCTCTGTCTCAAATTTGTTTCGTCAGAGAATCCTTGGCATGTGTGATAGGCGGATAAGTTGGAGAGAGAAAGAGAGAGATTTCATGAGAGATGCTCCTCATGAATAGCCACTTCCTCAATCAGTTGATTGAGAGGACTGAAGCCTTGGATGTGATGATCAGAACATTTGCAAGGCAGCATAAGAGGGCCAAGCCCCTGATGATGATCATGAGGTGAGTGCATAGGCACCGGAAACTTTCGTGCGATCACAACAGAATTGATCACCTCATCGGTAGGATGAAACACTGAAAGAACCTCAAACCCTCGAAGATCACAAGGATCAACCACCGGATAAAGAAAAGCCCGAGCACCATGAGCACTCCTCACCATCAAAGTGGCTCCTGGAGCCATATACTTAGCCAAATGATCAATGACTTTAATTTTCCCTCCCTTGTCCATACCCACAAGCGCTGCCAAAAAAACAACTTGATAGTCTTTTAATTCGCTCGTGACATCCATTACATCGGATGTGTGGAAAAACATTCGTTTAGACAGGTCAGGATTGGTCGAAATAAGGCGTGAAGCCATTGAATTAGCCAAAGGGTCAATGTCATAATTGTGGAAAGTGGCTGCAGTGAGGTGGTTAGTGGCTAGGACAATTGAGGTGAGGGGGAGGGGACCGGACCCCACGAAGGCGATGCGTTTAGGGGGTTCTTGGGGGGTGTAGTGTTGGGTGAGGATTGTGAATTCAAGGAGGCTAAGTTTGAGGTAATTTGACAAGTATGGGAAGATGTTGAGATGGTCAAGAGGGTTTTCAAAGGTTCCCAAGAGGGTAGAGAAATGGGTCTCTAGGAGTCCCTCCGCTTCACCACATAGTTTGATGAGTTTAGACCTAGTTTCTTGAACCCTTTTGTTGGAAAGCTTGGTCAGATCAATGGGGCTTGGTGGCATGCAAGTGAGAACAAGTTGGGTGAAGAGCATGTTGACATCTTTGGATGGTTTGAGGCTTTCAAGTTTTGAGATTCTCTCATAAATCTCACACACTTGCTCTATCAGAATCTCTTCTTCACAACCCATGTCGACACTATGAGGTGAAAATGAAGACACGGGAAAAGTGATACTGAAATTTGAAAACACACACAGGCTACCCTCCATTGAGCTCTTTATTTATGGACATTTTTTTTGTGGGGTCCATTTCTAAGTGAGGGCCGTGTGGGTCGCACTTGCTGCATTTAGTGCATTACATGTTTTTATTTTTATTTTGAAATTTTTAGAGCTCTATTCAAAGAATAATAATTGATGACATGACATAATTTAAAGAATTTTTGATATTTGTAATGTGATTAATAAGTGAGATCAATAATAATATCATAACTAGTGTTGGTACACTAATCAATATACTAATTGGTGCATGTAACAGTACCGTGTTCAAAATTCAAGCACCTAATATTCGCCACGTAATTACTTTTTCTAATAAGTTAATGGTTGAGATTTTGTTCACCTACTTAAAAATGTAAATATTAGATTCACGGAAAGAAAATATGACTCAATATTTAAGTCATGTTTGGCATACATAAAATAGTTTATCTTTTTATCTTTTTATTTTTTTCCATCACATCACCTCTCTACTTTTCTGTACATTTTTTCGTAAAAAGACAAAAAGTACATTTATTTAGGTCATCCCAAACAATAAAAAAACATAATTTAATTATTTAATTTACAGAAAATATTGAGTGACACAATTTCGAAACTCAGTCAATTCCCTCCTGTCCATTTCTAGATTGGAGAGAAGTTTTTTTTTTTAATCAATGGAGTTGATTTTATTTTAATTTTTTGAAGACAAAAATCAAGAATATCTATTTTTCCCACTTGTCAAATTTGCAAAGAATGAAAAATCTTTCTTTTGCAATGGATTCTTGTTTTTGAGTTAATAGCATTATTCTTAAATTTATCGGTATAACGCGAAGGATTGCATATCACTATTGATTTGTTGAGGAATCAATCAAATAAAATTTAATTTCTTGTCAAGTTAGTATATAAATGAATATAAAATAAATATTTTAAATATTTTTAAAATTGTGGGAGTAGAAGAAGGGACAAGTTTTCTCCTAGCTAGAACATGAATATTTTTGACTTTGCTATGATAGATGATTTAAAACAAAATTTGATGAAGCTGTTATATATACATTCACTTTATGTTGTGTTGTGTTGTGTGCCTTCTCTCTCTAAAAAGTTGATTTAAAAACTAAACCATATTCTCTCTCTCTCTTTCTAAAAACCTCCTCCCTGGGCCTCTCTTTGGGCCGGCCGGCTGCCGCCTTCGGCTATGACGGTCGGCTGGGCTAGCTTTCTCTGTGTTTGTTTGTTGTCTTCCCGTTAATAAACTTGAGTCCCCTATTATTTTCCCACCTAGGAGTGTTTGGTGTGCTGCAGTGAGTGTTTGGTGTGCTGCAGTGTTTTTTGTTGGTGCTTCCGGGCCGTTTTAGCTGATCTTTTGGGGGTATTGGTGTGGTGTTTTCAGTAGGGGACGTCCAGGAACTTCACTCGAGCGCTCTCACTTCACTTGGAGCTTGAGGGGTGAACTCTGGTTTAGATTTTTGGAGAAGATTCGATGCTTGGTTTGGACGGAAAATTGGGTGTTGGAGTTGATCCATCTCTGTCTGGTCTTCATTCAAGCGCTCCTCTTCGTGGGAGAGTGGGTGGTGATTTGACTTTAGTTTGGGTGGTTCGGCAGCTTGGGAATTGTGCTAGTTAGTTGAGTTTAGTTTGTTTTGGGTGTTTTGGTGGGTTGATTATGTGGAGATTCATGTCTTTATTTTCCAGTTAAGTCCTTCTTAACTTTTTTTATGTATCCCTATTATTTTCCCACCTAGGAGTGTTTGGTGTGCTGCGGTGAGTGTTTGGTGTGCTGCAGTGTTTTTTGTTGGTGCTTCCGGGCCGTTTTAGCTGATCTTTTGGGGGTATTGGTGTGGTGTTTTCAGTAGGGGACGTCCAGGGACTTCACTCGAGCGCTCTCTTGCGAGTTGGAGCTTGAGGGGTGAACTCTGGTTTAGATTTTTGGAGAAGATTCGATGCTTGGTTTGGACGGAAAATTGGGTGTTGGAGTTGATCCATCTCTGTCTGGTCTTCATTCAAGCGCTCCTCTTCGTGGGAGAGTGGGTGGTGATTTGACTTTAGTTTGGGTGGTTCGGCAGCTTGGGAATTGTGCTAGTTAGTTGAGTTTAGTTTGTTTTGGGTGTTTTGGTGGGTTGATTATGTGGAGATTCATGTCTTTATTTTCCAGTTAAGTCCTTCTTAACTTTTTTTATGTATTTATTTTAGAAAAAAATCGAGAGGCTAAGGGGTTGGTTGTATGGATGCGAGTAGCAGTAGTAAGGGTATTTTATACTTTCTGAATCTCTCTCAATACATGTCATCTTTCTATACTTTTAATTTCATACTGTTAAATAAAATTTTTCTTTACTGATCAAAAAAATATATATATATATATACATTCACTTCAATAGCAGTAGTGTTTCATGTTTAGAAGAAACTGAAATCTTTGATGGAAGTAGGGGGTTTCAATGGACCACACAAAATGCATACATTTTCTTGGGCGGTGGGATATCAAGCCACTGATCCCAATCCAGAGGCAACTTTATATATATATATATATATATTTGGAAGAAAATTATAAATTAGTAGACAAAATATTTGTATTTTTATGATGGTCCAATGTCCTATGTGCTTTTTTTAGTAAGTCATCTAGATGTGTTAGAGTTATATAAAAAAAAAGGATTTATTTCAACTATAGTGTAATTATTTTTTCACTGTCATTTCTCCTATATTTTTTTATCATAAGACTCAAAAAAAAGAAGAAAAAAAAAATTACAAAGCAGCCCGATGAGGTGCATTAATGTTAAATTGTAGCTTTTCCTGTGTTTTTTCTTTTCCCTTTTTGTTATTTTTTTTCCTTTAAAAAAAAGAGGTTAAAATGGTTGTTTTCACATCATCTTTGATGGAAAAATCACTGAGTTCTATTCAATGTATATTATTTGAAATTTATATCTACTTTAAAAATTAAATTTTTAATATATACTTTATTAATTTTTACTTGTTAAGAGTGAGCATGGATGACAATTTTGTAGAGTTTGAAATCAAATTGAACCATAAATTTTATAGAAGCAAACCAAAGCGAACTAGAAAAATGTTGTTTAGATTAGTTTGGAACTATGGTATTTATAAACTTTGTTATATCATTCACAACATGATCACAACTTGTTTAAAAATCAAGCACAATATCATCATTTTACAAATAAAATTATTTAAGTAATTGTTTAGAATTAGTTCATTCATCATACAACAATACACTTGCAACACTAAAGGATTGAGAACTTATGAATATGTATATATAATTTTAAGAAATAATAAAATCCAAATGATCCTATTTTGATTTTAAACCGGAACCAAAATTATAAAATTCCGAACATAACCACAAATAATTTTTCTATTTTAATAATCAAAACTAAACTAAGTTGGACAATCTTTAAAGTATTTAAAGAAAGAATTAAAGAAAGGAGAGAGACTATTTGATTACAAAAATCAAAACAGTATAAACATAAATAAAACAATCAGTGTGTTTGGTTTGAGTTTTCTGGATTAAGTTTTTTGAAAACTGTCTTTTTTGGTTTTCGTGTTTTTTTTTTGTTTTTAGTGAATATTTTTTAAATTTTAAACATTTTTTTTTTTACTTTTTTAGATGCACCTTACTTAGATGTATCTAAAAAGTAAAAAATTTGTGAAAAAATATTTTAAAAAATTAATAAATACATAAAAATACAAAAAATGTACTGAATTCTTGTATTTTTGGTATTTAGTGAATTTTTAAAAGATATTTTTTACAATTTTTTTTTATTTTTTAGGTGTATTTATGTTAGGTGTGTCTAAAAAGTAAAAAAATTGCTTAAAATATTAAATAAATTCAGTAAAAACAAAAAAACACGAAAAATAAGAAAGTAGAATTTTCTGAAAACTGTTTTTTGAAAAGTGGAAACAAGCAAGGTGAATAGATTTTTATTTTGTTACAAAAAATAAAATTAGAATCTAATAAAAATAAATAATAAAACAGAAAGTAAATTAATTACTAACCTTATTAATTAGTCGAACAAAATTTGATCAAGTCTAGCGTTTAACACTGTGTCCTTAAGACAGATTCGTCCTCTCCATGGTACTTTCAGATTGCGGACGTCTATCTCACAGAATAAAATGATCAATAGTGAATAGTAGCAGCACTATAAACTATTTACACAGCGAACACACTTTGTGTTTACACACTTTCCCACAAGAAAAATTAATGCAGCAAAATGCAGAGAGCAATAGTATTATTGAGGATGGAAATTCAATGAAAAACCAAATGAGGGACTTGTTTACTTATAAGTGCAAAGGTTACTCTTCGTATTTGAATGAATAGGTAGCAAATCTGTTTGAACAGGTGCAAGACCTGTTTGGTTTGAATGAACAGATATAGCACTGTTTGGGTTTTGAATTTGAACATATTTGAATCTGTACGGACAGAATTTAAATAGATATAAATCTGTTTGGGTGGAGGAAAATTTGGACACCATTTTGGAATTAAATTCAAAATTCAAATTCCAAAAAATGGCAAGAATTTAATTTTCGAAAAATAAAATTCAAAAAGTTTTTGACCTAAAAAGATAAGCATTTGGCTAGACAAGTCTAATCCAACCTCACACCACGCACTCGTGCCCAAGCCCAAGCCCAAGCCCAAGCCCCGCTCCGCCCTCCCGACCGACAGGATGGACGGTAGCGGTGGCGTGCACACTTTACCCATAACATCACCCTTCCACAAAACTTGGGTACCCCTTGGGGCCCTCCCCAAGTTGCAAACCCAAGCTTTATAAACCCACAAAAGTTTGCCCACTAAACCAATGTGTGACAAGCTTTAACTAAAACCTTAATGGAAATTTCACCAAAACAACATTTCCATGGAGTTCACTTTGACTTCAATTTCTCATTCACTAAATAATGGTTTTGAGCAACCAAATATAGTACGTGAATCACAACGTGACATAGAACGCGTTACCACTTAGACCCGCCAACTTTGGCGCATGGGTCCCACCTAAAAATTAGACCAAAGT